CATGAGTCTGTCAGTGGAGGGATGGATAAAGACACTTTGGTACATACATATATGAAACACCATGCAATGCTGAAGAATGCTGATGACTCTGCAAACTACCTCATAACACGGACAACCCTGTAGGCCATTAACGCTGAGTGGAATCAGTCATCCCCAAAAGGACAAATAGTGCATGAGACCACTATTGTAAAAAGTTAAAAGGTTTTCTTGAAAAACAGAAACATTCTAGATAGTTGGGGGGGTTGGGTGGGGGGGGTGGGCAGGGAGGGAGGGAAAATTGTTCACAGGTTAGAAGGTAGACATGTGTTTTACATGGGTGACAGGGCAGGCAATGTACAAGAGGCAGGTTAGCCGAGAAAACTGAAGGTATTAGGAGACACAGGAAGAACTGAAGCAAAGTATATTATTTGCTGAATGTAAAACTGATGATCTCCTCTGTAAACCTTTGCTCAATATACAATAAACAGTTCAAGACCCTGTTGAAAAAAGGACCAGCCCAATGTCTAGTGCAGACAGTACGTACTGACTGATGAGAGAAAGCCCTTCACAAAGAGAAAGTCTTCAAACCAACATGGTTTCTGTGAGAACCCACCCAGGGCCCAGTGCTAGACAGACTCGACCCCAGGCAGTCAAACTCTACCTAGTGGTAATCTCTACTGGAATCATGAATATTCGTCTGCAACGGGTTGGGGGTGGCTGGAGGGGCTCAGCTCTGACAGACTCCACATTATGTCAAGACCACTCTCTCAGCAGTGAGGTGCCAGCAAATGAGGCCACCACCAATCCACGTCCAAGGATTAAAAAAAGAATAACCTAATGTGTGGCGAGGACAGACTAGAAAACACAGATGTGGGCATTTTCTTGAATAGTAAAGCTTTAGAAGCAGCCCAGGCATCTGGGAACAGGAAATCCATTTCCAATGATGATCCATTCACAGAATAGAATACTGAACAACCTTGATGAAGAAAGACAGGAGTCACATGGAAAACTCGCTAAGATATGTTACTGGATGAAAAAGGCAAACCAAAGCAGAGTGAACAAAACGTCACAATTAAAAGCACAATTACTCAGAAGAGAAGTACTATGGGGATGGACATTTCTCTAGTATTGGAGGGAGTACACGAGCTTGCCTGGTTTTACACTTTGGAGTGCTTCCTCACGTCACCTAGGAGCTCTGTGTGTCTGGGAACAAAGCTGGAAACAGAGAATTTCTATAGCTAAACTCATGCAAAGAAAAGAGAAGTTACTGAAGGGCCACGGTCATTGTTCCAGTTCTAGAACGGATTAGTGTGCATACACACACATATTACACATAACATGTTCACATAAATAAGGGGCACCTGCGTATACTGCACACTTCACCCCCAGGAAACTACGAGGGGGCTAGGCACCAATAATTTTTCATGAAAATACCAAGACCCATCTTGCTTCTTTCTGGGACAGGGCAGCGGCAGCAGACACTAGGCACATGCCTTACAGTTTCCTTGTAGGTAAGACGGCGACCTGAGAGGCTTGTGGCTGCCTCGACAATTCGACCCAGGAGGTTAATATAGCCACGATCTTGTTTTACATGTTTAAAAATGAATGAGATCAGGCTGACATACTTGCCAAATGGATGGCTATTTGAAGTGGAGACAAAGGATGATGATACTGGCATTGAAGAACAACATAATCCTCCTAGTCTCCTGGCATCCTTCTTGGAATGACGTCAACTATAAAAGGGGAATGTATCCTTTTCCAGACACCCATTTAGGGTACCAGAGAAACTGCATGCTGTTCTGAATGAAGTAGTGTTACTAGACTGCAGTTGAGCACCCCTGGCTTCCCAGCACACGCACACTCTTGGGTCTGTCTGGCCTGGTCACCCGGAGGCAACACCAAGAGACAGGCAACCAGGAAACCAGGGCCTAGAGGCGGGAGAGGCAAGGTATTGGAAAGCCCCCGCCTGTGGGGAAGGAGGGAAAGCTGTGTGTATTTGCTACTGCTAGGTACCAAGTGATGGACGGTGAGCTAGCAGCTCTGGTGCCTCCCTCCCAGGGACCTAACTGCTGTAAAAGGTCCTGCAACAGGCCCATGGTGTCCGCAAGCTGCAACCCATCCCAAATCTTTCTGAGGGACTGTGCAGTTGTGATCGCCACATGCTGACACGCATATGTATAAGCCTGGCCAGGCCTCGTCAATCACTGAGACTGTGATGGATTCTGCGTGCTTTCTCCGGCATCTGCTCCACATGAGCAACATCTTCATTCTGATAAGCGGTGGACAGCGAGCCTTAGTCTGTGACTCAGGGTCACACTTAACTCACCAGTACCCTGCCCAACCTTTACCACCTTGTCTACAAGAACAGAATGAGAAATTGGAAAGCATTTTCCTGAAAATCCTTATGGGCTGGGTCTACAGCACACTGTGAGCTAATATAATAATCTTGCTCAAAAAAGGGAGCCGGGAGAAAAAGGATATCACTTGGTCTCTACGACTCCACTGCACTTAAGTCCAAACCAATGACTGCTTTTGCTTATAAGCTATTCTTCTGGAAGGGGGCTTGAGATCAACACTCACTTCTCCCAGGCTAGTGACTGCCTCATCTCATCTCCCCTCGTCTCCCTTTGGACGCAATGGTGCTGGCCTGAGTCCCAGCATCTCCTCCTCTCAAGCATTCCTCCTAGATCAGCAATTGGTACTCTAAATGATTTCCAGTCTACAGTGACACCAACTCACAATCAGAAACCAGGGCACTCTGCTACATATACCCTTAGCCACCACGGCCTTCAACCCTCTCGTTTCCGTGTCCTTCCTTCCGCTCTTCAGCAAGGAGCTGAGTCTTGTTCTGTGTAAATGTGCTTCGTGATCCAGAGCCTCAGAACCCATTATGGGGACGGTGGGCGTGTGCCAGAACCGGCTCCAAAGGTACTGCAACCCTGCACAGGGTTTCCCAGCTGTAAATCTTTATGGGAGCACAAAGCCTCATCTTCCTCCCACAGAGCGCCTGGCAGATTCGAACTACTGACCTTGCGGTTAGCAACCCAGCTGTCATCCACTAGATTCCCACGGCTCCTGCAGAAACCCTTTACAGGATTGCTACCTGGGAACTGACTCCAGTGATGTTAATGAGACAGGATTCAAGGCAGTGACGCTAATGGGGCCGGATGCAATCTAGAAGGATTGGGCTGTATCTCAAGCCCACCTCTTTTGAGATCAGAGATTAAAAAGGCAGAAGAGACCACCAAGAAAGAAGAGCTGGGAGCAGAGTATAGCCTTCAGACCCTGTGTCCTCGCACCAAGAACTTCCTAGACCCAAAAGACGACTGATGACCAGGAACTTCCTCCTCAGAGCTGACAGAGAGAAAGCCTCCCCCGCCCTGCCTCCTAAGCTGCGCAGAAAGAACTTCTGGTTGTGAAAGCCCTCCTCCACTTGTGGTCATTTCCGTGGCAGCAGCACTAGAGAACTGAGACTCTTCTCTGTTGTCTTAGAGAACTCTTGCTAGAGCTTCCTGAAACCCTAAGAAGTACATCTGAGTGGCCCCAGCCTTTCCAATTCCAGACTTCTAGGTGTGGCTCTGGAGGATCAGCAATGGACTTCAAACACAAGGTCAGTAGTTCAAATCCACCAGCTGCTCCTCTGAAACCCTGTACAGGCTCACCATGAGTAGTCAGAGCCGACTCAATGGCACTGAACAATAACAGAAGTTTTAAGATGACATAGTTGTTGATTACTTCTGTATGAACTCATATTCACTTGAAAGGACGCTTACCTTTGCCAGTACTGGCCCCACTCCCCACAGTCCAGTTTTGATCCAAAGGCATCGGCTCACCAGACCCACTGTGAGGAGTCCTTTAGGCACTAAGAGTCTTGTGTCTTTGGGCACAAAACCAAGTGGAGAATTACCAGTAGCGAGCCCAGCCTGAAACTGTTTGACTCTTTAGCATCGAGTCCTGAGTAAGCAACCTCCCAGGATCTTTGCAAGCCCCTGGCCTTCTATGTACAGAGGTTGCTCAGCCAGTTAGCAACTGAGGAACAGCCGAGCCCTGTGGGTCAGAACACGGATGTGATGTAAGAAACAACCAACAGTCATAGGCTCCTGCAGGCACTTCCATTAGTCTCGTCATGCCCAGCTCACCTCTGGCCCCGGATCCAGGCACTCAGTTTCCCCAAACACCAGTAACACGCTGACAACTGTGGAATACAGTAGACACCTGTGTCTACAGATGTGCATCTGGCGAATTCTCGGGGGTGGGCTAGGTCTCCGCCCCCTCACACTGTTTCCACCCATTGGACTCAAAATGTGTGTGAGTTATGACAATGTTGTTGTTGGGCATCATTAGCAATATTCACTACATATCAATGTTGCTGCGCGTACTTTGCTCACGTTACCATTTTCAGTTGTTTACGTGCAGATGTTATGATTTATAAACATACTGATAGTAAAAGGCAATTAATAGATATTTTTCCATCTAAACTATCACCCAATTCACAATAAACTTTTTTTAAAAAGGCAATTAATAATGAAACTTGCAAAAAATCAGGTATCTGACTTCTGTCAGAACCAACTTATGACAGAGCGGTTACAAAGGAACTCTACCATAGCCACGTGATCCCCTTTATTCAGGAAAACCCCAAGTCCCTGTCATTTACCTCAACCTATGTACAAATGGGAGTCCTGGTGTGGCACTGTAGGATAGATAAATTAATGGACTGGTAACAGCAAAGTTGGCAGTTCAAACCTACCAGCTGCTCCTCGGAACAGACTCAACGGCACTTAATAGCAATAACAACATGTGCAAACGACATGAGCTGGGGCAAGCGGCAGCAAAGCCCAGGTCTTTTGAATCTCTGGTCGCCCCTCATCCACTCCCACTCTGTACAATGCCTCTGGGGAAATTACATAGCTCCCCTCAACTGGGACAGGGCCTCTGTCTCAAGGCCACCAAGTAGGGAGCTATCAGTCCCAGGAGGAGCCTGAGCTGTGCATCCCCCTCACCCAGTCCCTGTACCCACTCACAAAGATAGCAGCAAGGAAAAGCCAGCAATGTAGAGATTCCTCTGAGCACGGAAGAGCTTCATGTGAAAATGCTCCATGGCCCCAGGGTTGTTCTGGAGGTTCACTTTTTCAGTCACATCATCATACTTCCAGATCTCACGGACAGCATCTGCAGGGAGCAGAGGAGAACGAGATGGCCTTTGAAGTTCCACTCGGGCCAGCCTGAGCGGCCGAGGTCAGCAAGGCAACATGGCCTCAGCACTGGCCTGCTAACTGTTGGGCTGCTGGTTCAGACCCACCAGCTGCTCCTGGGAAACCCTGACAGGGTCGCTCGAGTCAGCACCGACTCGACAGTACTCAACAATGAACATCCATCCACCTACTGGAAGCCCCTTCTCACACCTCAGTCCCTACTCCATTCCAACCAGGCCACCTTGTTGGATTTGGATGTCTTTAGACAGTAACAGAGGCTGGGGCATCATTGGCAACAAGGGCAGCTGCTTTCCCCATTGGGGCCCTCAGCCACTCCAGGAAGAAAGTTGGAACAGTCCTGTTGATGGGAATGCTGGCTAACAGCGTCACCAGTTCAGGAGTCAGGACGTGGAGAATCCCCGACAGACATAGCACTTTCTGTTCTAAGCTTTAAAATAGGATTTCTGAAAATATTGTAACCCCCCAGTTTTTGTTTTTGTTTTTTATTACAAAAGGAATTTGTGCTCATCGTAAGTCAAACATAGCCGAATCCTAGACAGGGAAAAAGTCCACATTACAATCCCCTCCAACAGCCGACAACACGCACTGGAGCACCGGACCTAGAGCAGTCCCGGTCCATGACAGCTGCCATGCCCCCATTATATGCTCTTTATAACGCACACCACCTCTGAGATGACCTCAGTCACACTCACTGTCCTTCTCCTCATAACTCCGTGAGAGCAGGGACCTTATCTCAAGGCGGTCACCAGGACCCAGCATAGCTTGGGCCGAGTGGGCACTCGAGTTAAGTGGTGACGGAATGAATGCAACGGTGCTCCTAGGAGCGTCACTGCTAGCTGTAAGCTGTTTCTACGTATAAAGAAATCTGCTAACTAGACAACTTGTCTTCAACACAAAAATGGAACTGTATCATACCTACTGCTTTCTTCCCCGCCTACCCTCTAAGACATTTGTGCAATCAGCACTGACCGGCCGGCCCCCTGGCTGAGGGACAAGCTGTGTACTATGGAGTTCGACTTCTGGTTTCTGCTTCTACACTAGTCTGTGTTTTAGGTTATCTGCCAGTATCAAAGTCCTATTGAGGGCTGAGGGCTGTGTTTAGACGGCATCTCAAACCACAAACAGGCATATAACCTGGCACCATTTTGGAACTAAAGTCAGCAATGGTGGTGGTATATGCTACCAGGGTTCCTCAAGTTAGCATTTTGTTGTTGTTGTTGTTAGGTGTTATCGAGTCAGTTCCAATGCACAGTGAGCCTGTATAGGGTTTCCGAGGAGCAGCTGGTGAGTTTAAACCACCGACCTTGAGGCTGAGTGCTTATCCTACAATCTTTATACCCAATGATGGAGTCATCCCATCTGTAAGGATCGATCCTACAGAAGCAGTCATAGAAACGTGTGAGGTGTCCATTGTTCCGACCCACAGTGACCCTGTATAGGGTTTTCCGAGGAGCAGCTGTGCCGACCTTGCAGTTCAAACAGCTTTACAGTCTGGCGCAGTAACCGACAGTGCCACCCCAGGACTTCGTTTGAGGTGTCTATTAAGGGGGGGATGTTATGGCATCACCATACGAAAGAATAGGACAGAACTTCAGAAAGGATTGAGACTGGCGTAAAAAAACCGCCTGCAATCCAGTGAGTGGGGAGTACACCCAGGAAGCAGTGTGGCCTTGGAAGATGCCTCCAGCACTGCGCAAAGTAGCCATAAAGGTTACCGACGGGACGTGGCGGGGATTGTCAAGGGCTTAGAGTCCTTGGGTAAGGAACAACTAAGCACTCAGCTGCTCAGCAAAAAGTTGTCGGTTCAAGTCCAACCCAGAGGTGCTTCAGAAGCCAGGCCTGGCAGTTCACTTCTAACCACCACCACCCCCCCGAGCCCAGCCCACGTCTGTCACACGTGGGGGCACCAGGAGTCAGAGTCAACTTTCTAAATGAAATTTCTGAGGACAAAACCAACCCTCCACATGTATGTATTGTCTTTCTCAACAGAAAGAAATCAAATGCGGTACTGCTTCTTTTTTTCCTTTTGTCACCTACACATCCAGATCATACCCCCACTGAGAACCACCTGGTGCTCTAATGGTGCAGTGCTTAAGTGCTTGGCTGCTAGCCAAAAGGTCAGTGGTTTGAACCTACTAGTCGTGCCTTGGGAGAAAGGTGTGACAGATGCCCTTCCATAAAGATGGCAGCCTATGGAACAGTGCTACTCAGTCATTGTCACTCTAAGTTGGTTTGAATGAACACCTAGGCTGATAGCACCAAAGGACCAGGGGTGGGACACACTCGAGCACATAGCACAACAGGGACCCCCAGCCTCAGGCCCGCCCCCAAGGAAGACTGGGCCAGCCAGGGTTAGAGCTCTAGCTTGCTCTTCCCAAGGTGCTGTTCACAAACATTTGCATTTGCAGAAAGTCCTGAAGCTTTCTCTAGCGCACCCTAATTTAGGGGGTCATCACAGTCACATCACAACTTCCAAGGAAGTCCTTGACCTCCTGTCGACTAGTGTGGCACCAGGAACGAGGAAAAGCAAAGTCATCTGGTTTGGGGAAGGGGCAGAATCCTTCCCCGATTCTTGCCCCCAATCCCAAAAGCAAAACCTTCCTTAATTCAAGAGCTCTGTAGCCCTGCTTCTCCCAGAGCTCAGCCCCAGAGATGGTGCACAAGCTCTCTACCCCTGCCTGGCTCCGAGGCAGGTCAGAAAGAACCCTAATTGGAAAGTACTAGCCTATGGAGCCTCTCCAAGCATTTCAAGACCAGAGGTATGTGGGCAGCTGGCAGCCATCCTCTGCATCTGGGAGCTGGTAGGCCACACCTGGCCAGTTCAGAGGCTGTTCTGCCTGAACACATCCAGCAGGCCCCAAGACAGAGAAGGGACACATGCCTCATGCTGCTGCTGGCAGGTGGAGCTCTGCACATGCCCCTAAGCAAGGCTCTCTCCCACCCTGGCTCTGCTGGAGATTCAGGTGGGAGAGGAGCACAACTTACCTACAAGGGGAAGCAGAGGCAAGCCCAGGCTCGGTGGAGTCCAAGCAGGCCTTATGGATCACACAGTAGGTGAACCAGCCACCATTCCCAGCAGACAGGCTTTCTTGATTCCTCTTGTCTCCACTAGTCCCTCATCTCAAAGGGTCCCCTTCCATCTGAGCACTCCCTAGTCCCTCTTCCCAGCCCGAGGAAAACTGCAGACCAGTCCATCTGCCAAACATCTAGTGGTGTACAATTAAAGTCAGCTTCCGGAACCAGAGCTGGAAAGACCCTGCGAAACCCAACAGGATGTGTCCCCAAGACATGTTCCCAAACAGCAGTCGCCTCCTAACAGCAGGCATCCGCCAGGGCCTCCCTTCCTAATGAGGCCTGCTGTGCTGTCTCTGGGGTTCCAAGCCTGACTCGGCCATGGAGGGAGAAGCTAACGGCTGCCATGGAAGTGAGCATGGTCCAGTGGTCATCCCAGGGTGCTGAAAGGTGGCTTGGTCTAAGCCCACCCCACTGCTAAAGGTGTCGCTCAGGGTGAAGACCCTCTCCATGGATGGAGGGAGGCTCCTCACAGAGACACAGCTGAGAGGGAGGGGCACACAGTCAGCCTATATGGGAGAAGCCCACTAGGGCTGCCAAGTGACTTTCAGCTCAATGGTGGAGGGTCCAGCAAAGGGTCAAAGTCAGGTAGCTGCCCTCAGCCAGAGCTCACTCACCAACAAGCAGAAGCACCAGGATGATGATGAGAACCCCAAAGAAGGTGTTGCCATAGGTCACTACCAACTCCACCAGGTGAGACTTGAAAATCTTCTGCCATCTGTGACAGAGACAAACAGGTCAGGACTGAAGAGAGCAGATACACTGGGTCCCCAGAGCAGCAGAAACCCAGTTGTGTGTTCTTCCTAACAGCCTCGGCCACTGACAAATTTCAAAGTTAGGACACCTGAGCAGGAGGGCGACCAACATATAAAGATGCTTGTCCCACAAGTGTACAAATGACTGGAAAACCACTCCACATTCTTAAAGAACAGCTTCAGGAAGGAAATTTATGTTTCACATATCTCCCATTTGTAAGATTCAACATTCCTGCCCCAGACACACACGATTGCTGTATGCTGGTTTATACAGGACCAGCTTTGTTCCATCTATGCCCCCACAACCCTAGGGCTCTCAGAAAACAAGCTGCAGATGACCTATCGTTTTCCTCCATCAACACTTCAGTCTGGAGCGCTACAAGGTGAGAACCTTTTTACACGTATTTAACGTAACCAAATGTCAAGGCAAATGTCAGCATCAGAGCCAAAGTTCACAGTTCTAATTGTGGCAATTTCTTACACAGTTGTTTTGTTTGACTCGATCCAACAAGATTCGAATCCTGCAGGTAGTTTTTGCCTTAAATCTCTTCTACTCAGTTTTTCTCTCTCCCTCTCTGGTGTCCTTCACGCAATTGATTTTTCTAAGAAACATCATTTCCCAGACTGCAGCTCCAAGGGAGTCCTCTGCCTACTGTTTCCTCAAAATCATGTGAGGGGTGAACAGTTATGGGTCTGGTTTTGGACAAGAGGCTTTCTTCAGCCACATTTACCCCATCTTATCACATCATCATGAAAAATTGCTTTTAAGAAAGTCGGGCAGGGGAGGCGTCCCTTATGTGTAATGTCTTCCCCTCTGTGAAGACAATGCGTCCCTGTATTAGGTGTAATTCAAAACTCACTGTGGACAGACAACCTTTTAGCAGCTCCATTGTCCATCCCCCCTCCAAGGCTGAGTAATGTTCATGAGGCAATGCTTGTAAGATTAGTTGGGACAGAAGTCACTCGACAGCAGTGATGCAAGTTTTCAGGATCCCACGCTGCCATCCCCTGCACCCCAGGGACCCACGGGTAGGGAGGAGGGCATGATTTCCAGAACGCCAACTGGTCTTTTCAGGGTGCACAGGAAAGGGACTTAGTCAGATGTGACAAAACCCAACAGCCACCTGGTGGAGGGTTGGCAATGCTACGCACCAGCCCTATCAACCCCAACTCCAACAAGTTCTACCTGTTTTGGGCTGGCCCCAGCTCCAAGGTCCACCAACTGTGGCCACTGAACCCGGCTCAGGCACCCTCGGCGCTCCCCAGGCCCTACCTTTTTGGAGAAATGAAGGGAATGCAGAGAAGTAACACAGCAAAGACCTCTGCATAGAGGAAGGTGGCCACCACAGTCCACTGCAGACTCATCTTCTGCTCCCAGAGGCTCCCCAACCAGGTGCGCCCGGTTTCCTGCCGGGTCAGACAAGGGAGGAGCATGAGACCCCTCAGGGCGGTCCGCTGTCACAGGACTTGCTGCAGCGCCCCCTAGAGTGGCCTCGAGGCGAGCTGCTGAGCCGCCCGGCCACACGGCACTGGCCACGCACCGTCCAGGACAGCCGGGCGGCCCTCCCGAAACCTTTCCAACAGGGGCCAGTGAGGAAGGCCGAGGTGAGACAGCCTGCCCCGGGGGCGCTGCGGCCTCCCAGAGGCCTGGAGGACTTGGGGGTGCGGCGAACAAGCCCCAAAGAGCGACCCCTAGAGGACAGGAGTCAGGGCCAAGGGAAAGCACAGATCTCCATTGAACACCTCGGGGCACCATCCAGAGAAAGTTCGAGAAAAACCAGCCTTCTAGGCGATCAGAGGTCTCCTCCCTAGCCAGGAGACCAGTAGTCCTAGTCTTACCACCCACCGCGAGGCTGGGCCGCGCTGCCCCCGGGGGCTCCACCACACACCCTCCCTGCCGACTCGGGGCCTCAGGCGGCTCCACCTCGACCCCCGACGACTTCCCCAGAGAACTCGCAGGGGCCCGCCCGCCGGAACCCCCGCGCCGGGCTGAGCCCATAGAAGACTCCCGGCCATCCGACCCCCTTCAGCTCTGCCCTTCGACTTCACGCCCATGGACCGCCTCTCGGCCCCGGCTCCCTCCCTCATACCAGCCCCGCTGGCCCGGCCGAGGGGCCTGAGGGCGTCGCCGGAGAGCAGGGCGGTGGGCCGCTCACCGAGTTTCCCACAAGCACCGCGCACGCACTGCCGCCCAGCCAAACTCTCCCACCGCTGTCGTCGGCCCCGCCTCTTCCCCCCGCAACCGGAAGCCGGAAGCGGCCCGACGGTCACGCCCTTTCCCGCCCGCCCATCAACCGTCACCAAGTCCCGGCGGCTCCCCCGACTGCCACTTCCAACCCCGCCCCCAGTGGAGGGCTAACCACGGAGACCGGACGGGAGCAGGCGCTGGGAGGCCCGACGGCGCCGCAGACTCCCCGGCGCGCGGGGCGGGGCCTTGACGGGAAGGACCGCTCAGCCCCTCTAGTTCGCATGGTCCTCCAGGTCTCTGTGGTCGAGGAAGGGGGCGGGGCCCGCCCGTGAGGCGAGAACGGGGTGGGGCGCCTGGGCTCCGCCTCCCACCCCTCCTCCTCTTCCTCGACTCGCCCCTGGGGAGGGGCGGGAGGGTGGGGATTATGGGCCGGTGGCGGAGTCACTGTCGCTTCAGCCTGGCTGTGGAGCGGACGGACGCGCCTGGTACCCCGGGCGGGGGCTCCACTGGGGTAGGAGGAGGTGGAGGGGAAGAGACGCCCTCCCTGCCCTCGACCTTTCAAAGCTCTGACCCAGGGGCTAAGGGACTGACACAAGAGGGAAGCTAAGGTCCTCCTCCTCAGCTGCGTGACTCTGGAGGGCCCCAGCCCACCGCACCTGGGGCCCCAGCAGCGCCCCCGTTGCCTAGAGCAACAGTCTCAGTGACCACTGCAAGGCCTCCATTTGCCTAGACAAGGAGCCCAGGGTCAAAACCACGACCCTTCCAGCCACCTGCCTCGACTGCTGTCTCGGGCATTAGTCCCAGCCAGGTGACATGCCGGTGCTCTCCACCGCCCGGCCTTCGAGGACGACCACGCTGAAGCGCACAGCCGTGGTCCTGGCCCTCGCCGCCTATGGAGCCCACAAACTCTACCCCCTGGTGCGGCAGTGCCTGGCTCCGGCCAGGGGACCCCCAGGTTCGCCCCGGGAACCCCCCCAAGAGGCCTCCGGGCCGACGGCCACTGCAGCTAAGGCCAGCGTGAATCGAGTGTTCCTGCAGCGACTCCTGTGGCTCCTGCGGCTGCTCTTCCCCCGGGTCCTGTGCCGGGAGACCGGGCTGCTGGCGCTGCACTCGGCTGCCCTGGGGAGCCGGACTTTCCTGTCGGTCTATGTGGCCCGCCTGGACGGCCGATTGGCCCGCTGCATCGTCCGCAAGGACCCGAGGGCCTTCGGCTGGCAGCTCCTGCAGTGGCTCCTCATTGCCCTGCCGGCCACTTTCATCAACAGTGCCATTCGCTACCTGGAGGGCCAGCTGGCCCTGTCCTTCCGCAGCCGTCTGGTGGCCCACGCCTACAGCCTCTACTTCTCCCAGCAGACCTACTACCGAGTCAGCAACATGGACGGGCGCCTTCGCAACCCTGACCAGTCCCTGACGGAGGATGTGGTGGTCTTTGCAGCCTCTGTGGCCCACCTCTACTCCAACCTGACCAAGCCGTTGCTGGACGTGGCCGTGACCTCCTACACCCTGCTTCGGGCAGCCCGCTCCCGCGGAGCTGGCACAGCCTGGCCCTCGGCCATCGCCGGCCTCGTGGTGTTCCTGACAGCTAATGTGCTGCGGGCCTTCTCGCCCAAGTTCGGGGAGCTGGTGGCAGAGGAGGCCCGGCGCAAGGGGGACCTGCGCTACATGCACTCTCGTGTGGTGGCCAACTCGGAGGAGATCGCCTTCTACGGGGGCCACGAGGTGGGGCAGTCAGGGGCTGGGAGGCCGGGGCGGGGGGCACAGGCCTATGGGAGAGGAGGCTGAGGCCGGACAGGGCCCTGGGCGCAGACTTGGCCGCAGAAATGGAGAAGCAGGAAGGCCGGTGGGGGCTGCCTGGTGCCTTTCGCCTTCGTGCTCTATGCCACTTCTGCTTCCTCCTCCTGGAGGCCCGACCCGCAGGCAACTGCATCCTAGCGGTTCGGATCCAGGGCCCCCACTTGGCCAGGGCGGCAGTGGCTCATGACATCTGGGAGGAGAGGGACAAGAGGGACGCGCGGCCTCCTGGCCAGCCCCTCGGTTCTTTGAAGGCCGGCCTGGGGCCCGCGTCCAGCGGCTGGGCATTATGGGCATGACTCAGCCCACGCCGAGGTTAACAAGCAGCGCCCAGGGTCAGGCCGCCCCCACGGGCCCGCCGCCGGGTTGCCGCGGCGGGACGCACTTCCTGCCAGTCTGCCCCCGGTGCGGCCGCCCTTCCGCTGCGGGTGGGGGGCGCGGCGAGGCTACTCCCGGCCAGCACTCCCTTTATCTCACCTCGCCCCTCCCCTTCCTAGTGCCTGGGGTGGCAGCTGCCTAGGGCCCTGCTCTGGGGAACTCCGGTTTCGGTCCTGGGGGGAGGGGCACGGCGGCCTGTGGCCCTTGAAGGCCTGCCTGCATGTCTCCGCCCTGACCTTGTCATGGTGGCTTTGGACCAGGCACCTGGAGCAGGATTTGCCCCAGACCCAAACTGCTTGTCCTCAACCTCCTCTGTATAGAGAGACCACCGGAACCAGGAGCTGGCTGCTAATCAGGGGAGCAAGGGCCTGGCTTTGGGCTATGATCCCCTCTCCTCAACTCCTCCCCTCCCACAGGCAGGCTAGCAGCACCTTGGCAGGCAGCCACAACCGTGGCCTTGGGTGAGGCGCTTGGCACATTCCCTGCGGCTACGTTGTCAGCCCTGGCTGGCACGCCTGCCAGCTCACTGCACGAGTCCAGATTGTCAGGGTGCTCAGGGATCATTTCAGGAACAAGAGGAAATTCAGCCCAGGCCCTAGGAGGGGTGAGGCAGGAGAGACTGGTCTGATCATCTGAAAGCCTTCCTCCTGGCCTGGCTGGGCTGAGGGGCTGTGCGGACTGCAGCTCCACTGACTACTGTCCCGTGGACACAGGCTGGGCTCTCGGGGGCAAGGCAAAATTGACAAGCTAGTGGAGGGCCCTGCTGCAGAGCAGTTTGTTCTTTTTGGGGCTCTATTAATGTGCCCGTGCCATTGACACGCACGCGCACATACCCTCTTCTCGGCTTGAGTCCACGTTAAGCTTTTCTTAATAAGACAATTCATCGTTTTCAAGAAATCTCAAATCTTCTAAGGGCTCTGGCAATGCGGTTCAAATTCTAGCACTGCTTACTGCCTTCAGCCTGTGTGATCTTGGGCAGGATGCTTTGCCTCTCTGGGCCTTATCAGCCTGCTCTACAATGAGCATGCTCAAATGAAGAGGTAGGTCTGAAAGCACTTAGCAAAGGGAAGCAGACTGGGTAGTTGTCTGGATGTGGCAAGACTAGGGGTGGGTGTCCCGAGGGTCCTTGTACGGAGTCAAGAAACCCAATACTCTCCATACCTCCCAGTCTGGAAGATGGGTGCTGCCCCAAAGGAACCCTCTTCTCTCCTGCAGGACCCCTCCATCTACCTGGCCCCTCACCCTGAGATAGCAGGGCTAGGTCAGTGCAGGAGTGGAAGGCCAGGCCCTAGCCACAGTTGAGCCAGGAGACTGGAGACGGTAGCTGGCTGGAAGCAGAGGGCTGTGGGTTTGAGGCAATCCAATGTGGAGCAAGGCTGGAGGGGCTGGAGGGGAGCACACCCTCATGGTTTTGGTGGGAAAATACAGTACGAGTTTCTCGCCGCCAGGAACTATGGGAAAAGTGGCTCGCAGGGCGGTGCTTAGGGAGGGAGAGATTGTGGACTCCAGGTTCCCGAAATCAAGATGCTACCAGTGCCTCCAACGAGATGGCCTAGCACAGTGGCAGCCACAATGACGGTTGTGAGGTGGGCACAGGACGGGCAGTGTTTCGTTCTGTTGTGCATGGGATCGCTATGAGTCAGAAGTGACTCAAGGGCACCTCACAACAACCACCAGCAGTGCCTGTCATTTTGGGCTCTGTGCCTAGGCACCAGGGTCAGGAGGAGGGTGTTAGGGTGGGCGCCACGGAGGACTCAGGGCCTCAAACCAGTTCAGTCATGGATGTTGTAGCGACATCAGAACACACCAGATTTTTAAAAATTTGGGTGAAGCCCAAACACAGTGAGCCCTTTCAGGAGCCAGGTGCGGGAGGTTGGATTATTGTCAGGACTGGGAAGACCAACACACGTTCAAAGCAGCCATCTTTGAGCAGGGCAATGTTGTTTTTAATTCAGCCGCCCAAGAGCTCTACTGCCAGTGTAATGCTGCCCTTGTTTTCCAAGATGGAGATCAAGTTTCAAGCAGGGCATGGAGCTGTAATTGTTCCCATCCCAGCCATCGTTCTGGTACATCCACATTTTACAAATTCCGGTCTGTTCCAGTTTGGCTCTGTCCTCCATGACTGAACTGGGACAGAACAGAGAGTGCTGAGTGTCCCCGCTCTGATTGTGGTGAGTCCCTTGCTCACCATTGCCGTACCCCTTATCCCTGCAAGTGAGACTTTTCCTCCAGAAACGTGCTGTAACTTTGCGGGGACTATGAAATGGGGGCCTGCCAACTGTTCTCATGAAGCCACTGGCTCTCTGGTGGTCCTGCAGGTGGAGCTGGCGCTGCTGCGCCTGTCATACCAGGACCTGGCCTCCCAGATCAACCTCATCCTGCTAGAGCGTCTGTGGTACGTCATGCTGGAGCAGTTCCTCATGAAGTACGTCTGGAGCGCCTCAGGCCTGCTTATGGTGGCTGTCCCCATAATCACGGCCACTGGCTACTCAGAGTCAGGTGAGAGCCAGGCTCCAGGCTGGGGGCGGGCCTGGTAAGTCCTGCGTGCACCTCCCCTTCAGAGTTCCACTCCCAGCCAGGTCCAGGAACTGTGCCCCAAGGTGTCTCATGGGTCCCTGCTGCCCCTGGGGCATGGGAAGATGGAGGGAGGACTAGGGTGTCTTCAGGGACACGGTTTTCCCATTTGGAGGCTGCAAGGCCTGCATCCTAGTTTTGTGGTAGGCGTCCTTGGTCAAGTGGCTCTGTGCATTCCTGCAGAGAGGTTTAAGTTAATCAATAGCACTGCCAGTTCCCTCTCACGAGTTTTGGGGCCTGGGGGCCGTTTGGACGCTCACTGGTTGGAGACCTGGCTAGTTTGAGCCAGTCAATACTTGACTACTTCCTTTGCCACCATTCCTTTGGTGCACCTGGCTCCTCCCCCCTGTGTTCAGTTACCCTGTGTGTACCGCAAACAGCAAGCCCCACACATGGTTTGTATTCCCAGTAGATATCAAAGTTACGCCAACACTATCCTGTAGTCTGTGAGGAGCCCTGGTGGCGTGTGGGGTAAACACTAGGCCACTAACCTCAATGTCGGTGGTTCAAAGCCACCGGCCACTCCTCAGGAGCCAGGTCTGTTCCTGTAAAGATGTACAGTCTCGGAAACCCTACGTAGGGTCACTGTGAGTCAAAATAGACTAGTAGGCCTGGGCCTGGGTTGCTGGGCTGTTGTTGGGTTTGACTGCAGAGTCGGTTTGAACCTTAAGGTCGGAGGTTCAAACTCACCAGCTGCTCCTTGGAAACCCTATGCAGGATCACTATAAGTCAGAACTGACTCGGTGACACGTAACAACAATTGCTAGTCTTGGAGGCCTGGTGTGGCGCTGTGGGTTAATGTGCTGGACTGCAAGGTTGGTTTGAACCGCCAGGTGGGCAGCTCAAGCTCATCAGCTACTCTTCGGAAATCCTATACAGGGTCTCTATGAGTGGTCTCTGATGATTGGAAATAAGGCACTCAACAAAACAGGCACGTATGAGTGTTGTTGTTAAGCAGCACTTAACAACAATTGGCAGTCTATGAAGTGGGCAACAGCATGATGAACAAGTTGAAAAGCTTGGGAGAATAACCAAAAGGGGACGCATATAGACATGTGTTGTTGAAAAAAAGGGGACCAATCGGCTTACTCGCAGCAGAGTTGCCACAAATCTTCAATGGAGAAAAAACAATACAAAATCTGCACAGCGCAATCAAATGATGGCAGCTGGTACATACACATCTTGTGAACACATTCTTTCATTGTCTGAAAATCTCTTGATTTCACCCTAGCTTCCAGATGAAAACTTAGCTGAGTGGAGAGGTCGAGGCTGATGGTGGCTTTGCCCTTCCTTACTTGGTAATCGGCATTTTTCTCTCCGGGGTGTCTCTTTGTCCTCGAGTTTTGTTGTCTCCCTAGGGTGTGTCTAGGTGTGGACTTCTGTTGATTTGTCCTGCTCGAGGCTTATGTGTTCTGTCACTGCTTAGGGTTGTCGAGCATTCTGGAAACTTCTCAGCTATTAAACCGCATGCTTGCTCTTTGTGTCTCTTCATCTCAGTTTGTTATTTCCCCTGAGTACTATCTGGGTTGAAATCTGGGAGAGTTCTGACCACTAATTCACCAGTTTTATCTTCAGCTGGGTCCAATTTGAATTTTTTTAAATTTGGTGAAAGGAGCCCTGGTAATGTAGTAGTTACGCACTTAGCTTCTAAATGAAAGGTTGGGGACTCGAACCCACCCGTTACTCTGTGAGGAAAGATGAGACAGTTTGCTGCTGTTAGGAGCTCCAGCGTCAGAACCCTACTGGCAGTGGTACAATGTCATTTTGATCCCTTCTCCAGTCTGCCTGTTTTGTTTGATAAGTGCCTTAGTTCCTCCCCTTTTCCACGCCCCCTTTGGACTTTACGTTGTGCTAATCAAGCTGCTTCCGTGGTCTCTATCCAACTTGGAAGCTGAACACAACATCTCCTGATTGGCTGCTGTTCGCTCATGGTAAGTCGTCTCCATGTGTCTTCTGCAATATAGGACGTCTGTGGGAATCCTGTGTGGCCTAAATCCAGGGTGTCATTCATCAGTGAATTTTTGCTTTTGTTTTAGCCAAGCTCTCAAGAGGTAATTAAGAATCTGAGGCCATTTTCACATTAGTGTCGTAGCTGGGGGAGGTTCCTGGACTTGAAGATAGTATTAATTTGAACCCCAAATACATAAGAGAAGAGGCTTTTAATTACACATTGGCAGGAGAAACCTGTTGTCCTCTCCACCCAGAGCCCAGGCTGAAGCTAATGAAACACCCTCGTCTCCTCCCTGTGCCGCATCCCCAGGCTTCCGTGCTGTCAGAGGTCTGCTTTACAGAGATGGGGTTTGTGGACATCTTACTGTGTGGTTCGTTATGTTTTATTTAGTTTGGTGTTAAGAGGGTTTCAGTTATATACACAGTTGTATACACAGTCTGGACTCTTCCAGAAAGCACAGTTTCTCTGATTTTGTTCCTCTTGTCATCTCCACTCAGCAGCCCAGGGCCTAGTCAGTGTGACCCCTGCCAAGGGGAATGACGGACCGGAGTGTGTCTAGGCTCTGACTGCCCCTACTCTGAAGGCCTGGGGTGTTCTGCAGCTTCTGCTGAGCCAGGGTTGTGGGCAAGCCAACGCAGCCTGCCCGCTAGCCTGCCCTGTCCACGTGGAAAGCTCTGCCCCCGCTGCCTGTGGAGGCCTTCCCTCCCCCCTTGTCATACCCTCAAAGATCCTGGTTTGCTTCCTCTCTCTGAACTTGGCTCAGCTGGGCCCTCATGCCATCTGCCCTGGGCTGGCTGACTCCCTGTCCTCCCGCTGCACGCCCCTCCCAGAACCTTCCTGCCGCCCGCCCCCCAACCCCATCCAGTCTGCCCCTTAGTTTAGGCACTGTACATGTGTCCACACGCAAGGCCCTTGGTGCTGGCTTCCTCCTTGCTCCCCATTGCATTTCCTGACCCTACCTTGTAGAAGGAATGAAGTGAGGGCCCCGGGCGCTCCAGACTGGGTGAGGCAGGAGCTGGAGGCAGGCCTTCAGTTCAAGGGACAAGGGAGAAGTGGGGGGGGGGCGGGGGCAGGTGAGAGACTCAGGACAGCCTGTTCAGGGAGAAAGACAGCCCCGGGGGGAGGGGGAGGGGAGGGTCTCCCCTGGGGAGCTGGCAGTACTGGACAGACCAGACGGAGCTCAGCTGCTGGGAATCAAAGGCAGGTGGCCAGTGACTCTTGTTTATGTATTTCTAATGTTATTGATTTAGTTGTTGAGAATGCACGCAGCAAAGCCTCCATCAACTCCTCAACGTGGACACATTCATGGACCACTCAGTGACACTGATGATAGTCTCCACGGTGTACACACATCCTCCCCCTCTGTTTTGGAGTTCTTCCTCCCCCATGGGCACCAGCTCACTGGCCCCTAGGCTTCCCATGTCCTCTTCCCAGCTGCTCTGGTCCACTTGATCTCCCTCCCCGTGGTCGAGAGAGATGGTTCTTCAGAGAGATCAGTGCTCAAGGCCCACATAGTTTACTAGTTAATTTAAACTGTTGCTTGGTTTTTGTTGTGGCACAGTAGGATAAGCGCTGGACTGCTAACCACACTGTCGGCGGTTCAAGCCTACCAGCTACTCCTTGGAAACCCTATTACAGGGTCGCTATGAGTCAGAACCAACTTAACAGCTACAGGAGTAAGGAGTTAGGGTTAGGACTGGTTCGGTCTGGGCAGGGTTGGCGGCGGTTAAGGTTAAGATTAGGATTAGAGATAGGGGTTACTCTAGTTTTAGAGGTATATTTACATCTATTTTTATTATTTTATTTCTTGAATCTACTTGATTTCTTTTTCATTTGGAACTTCTGCCGCTAGACTGCTGAGCCCTGGAGGCACATAGTGGGTCTACACATTGGGCTGCTAACCACAGGTCAACGGTTGAAATCCACCAGCCATTCCGCAGGAGCAAGAGCAAGCTTTCTGCTGGCTCCCTTACAGGTTTGCTCCCTTGGAAGCCTTGCGTAGGATCACTATGAGCCGAAATAGACTCTACGACAGTGTTTGTTTGGCTTTGAGGGGTGGGTAACTGTTGCTAGCCCCTCTTTCTCTGGTTCCCTATTTTTAGTCCTGTAGTTTTGTTTGACTTCGTTGTTAAGTGCCTTCAAGTTGGTTCCGACCCATAGCAACCCTGTATAGGGTTTCCGAGGAGCAGCTGGTGAGCTTGAACCACTGACCTTGCAGTTCAAACGGCTTTGCAGTCCAGCGCATTGTCCAGTATTGGGGTTGATTCTGGATGATACTGCTATATGTATAAATCTCAGGGTGTCGCCTACTATTATTGTAAGGCTGGTCAGGTTTTGGTTTGGTTTCAAAAACACTTCCAAGGATATATTTGATTTAAGCTTTAAAGATGATCTCAGGAGTCTACGAGATTTTGAAAATCAGTTCTGCATTTCCCCCCTTTTGATCAGGATGATTCTAGGGACTCTTTGACCAAAATGCTCAATAATGAGAGCCCGGCACCATCCAGCTCTCTGGTCTCGTGGTGGAGGAGGCACCGATTCAGAGACACAATCAGCCTCACAGTCAGTGTGTACCCTCCTCCTACCGCTGACTCTCCTTCCTCTGTTGCCCCAGGCAAATAGGGACCAATTCCATGCCTTGGATGGTCACTGGAAAGCTGTTGAGACCCCAGGCATTACACAACAAACTAGAGGGTAGAACAGAAGAACTGAACACATTATTAGGCCAATTAACTGGAATGGCCCATGAAACCATGAGCTGACCCCCCCCCCCCACGGGATCAAATCCCAGGAGGAAGTGGGTGGGCGGTACAAGCAGCTGCAGCAGCTACTCATTTATTTCATTCTTTTTTTTTGTTGTCACTGTTGTAAATGAGTCTCTTGCACAACTTTAAATTTTTAAAAAAATATATATCATTTAATTGCCATGGTTACAATCCCCTCCATGCATCATCAACCAACCAAAGGGTATATA